TAATATGCAGTACGGAATCAACTAGGGGTAGGCAAACAGTAGTGGCAAAAGGAGAAACAATGGTACCAACAGTAACGGTAGTGGTGACAATAGCGAGCGTGGTTGCAATACTGATCGTGTAAATGGTGGGCGTAATGATATTTGGCGGCCTTGGTTCATCGCTGCGCGGTAGAACTTTAAAGCGCCCGTACTGGTCCACGGAATACGAACTGGAAGTATGTATCTTGCATGTGCAACGCCGCGCGCCTTTGCAACGTCACAGATTCACCCACCAGTCTTCCCGTAAGTATCCCTCGTCCTGGCGCGCTACATGAAGCAGTCTCGGTGCAGACACTGGATCGCAGTCCCTCTTTGCATGGCGCCGTTGCCACGGACTACATGGCCACCTTGCTTCTGGCGTGAGGGGCAGATTCCAGCAACAAAACGCTAGTGGAGATGTGCTGGCTGCGAAAGGCCGTGGGATGCACCCTCTCGTGAGCGCAAGAGGGGCCTCTCCAACGAGCGCGACCCCAACTGCCACGGCAGTCACCCTCACGATCGAGGCTCGCATGCTGTTTCTCCGTATAGGAATGCGTGTCTATACGCGCGCGGCCGAGGGGGCCTTGCTGTCATGGAGTACATGTCTGCTGATCGTGGGTCGCCGTCTCTCAGCCCCCTTGGTTTGCCCCCCGTATCCTCAGATGGTGCCATTGTTGTTACTTAGACGATTCCGAGAACCTCGCCTCCTCTTCCCCCCTTCCCCAAACAAAGTGCCTCACTAACACTCACGCTCACAGTCACTCAGACTCGCCAATACTCTGACCCACTCACACCCAATTACGGTCATACTCCGACTTCCTGCACCCAGACTTAGTCGCACTCGGACTCACTGACACGTAGACTCGCTCACGCTATGAATCACGCGCACTCAGACTAACTCACACTCATACTCCCCCGTACTCAGACTCAGAGCCACTCATACCCATCAGTGGCCCAATGCTCATCGCGATATAGCAGGCGTGGCGCTGGGGCACCCCAAGGAGGGGGGCGCCAGAGGTCAGGACACACCAGGATTCGCGCCCAAATTGGGTGGGTGTCTCAGGCGGTTTGCCGGTTTGCGTGCCAACACCTCTTGCGTTTGGAGCAGATTGCGAAATTGTCTGAAGCAAGGCGCTGGCTTCAGCACTCCGAAAGGGGGGCGCCAGGGGTCAGGACACTCCAGGACTCGCGCCCGGGTTGTGTCTCCATCGGTGTGCCTGTCCGCGTGCCGAACATCCACTGTGTTCGGAACAGTTCGCGGGGATGTCTCAATCAGTTTGCCTGTTTCGCCCCCCCCCCACACATATTGCGTTCTCTTTGTTATGGTGGTGCAATGCTCACCGCGATATAGCACGCGTGGCGCTCGGGCAGCCCAAGGGGGAGCCGCCAAGGGTGGGGACACTCCAGAGTTCGCGACAAGATTGTGGGTCTGTCCCCAAATTGTATTGCTTTTTGTGGCCCGGTGCTCACCGCGGAATAACAAGCGTGGTATTTGGGCACCCCACGGGGGAGCCGCCAGAGATGGGAACACGATAAAATTCGGGCTCTGATGAAAGATATGTCTCGAGCGGTTTGCCGGTGTCTGCCCCTCAAATTTTATTTGGACGTGTGTTCCCCGCTCACACACGCACTCACTTCCTTCCCCGTGTATTTCACCGCTCGGACGCACTCACTCGCACTTGGACTTCCTCATCGGCATCTCGTCCTCACCCCGACTCACTCATCATATTCGCACTCGCCCATAGTCCTATACGATCATACTCGGCCTCACACGTACCTGCTCGCTCATACTCAGACTCGCTCACAAAACTCAGACCCACCCACACCCATACCAACTCACACTCATATGAAATCACACTCAAACTCACCTGCCCTCAGACTCACCCATGCGCAGACTACCTCGCACCCAAACATATTCACATTCATATATATATATATATATATATATACATATAAGATATGCATCACAATCATACTCATAATCACCCGCATTCAAACTCACTCGCACGCAGACCCACTCGCACACAGACTCGCTCGCGGTCAGATCCGTCAGATTCAAACCCACTCGTACCCACACTCACTATGTACAGACTCACTCACACTCAGGCTCGATAGTGCCCGGGTCCGCTCACACTCCGACACGTTCACACTCAGATCACCCACGCTCACATTCACTCGTACTAAAGCTCAAACACAAACTGATACCGCGAAATAGCCAGCGTGGCACTCGGGCACCCCAAATGCCAGTAGGCGCCGCGAGTAGCACACCAAAGAGCGCGCTTGCTTGAATTGCCGCGAGGAAAACGGCAAGAAAAACTCTCCCTCGCTATTCCACTTATGTTTCTCTCGCCTCTCCTGAAAGATGTCCAGAAGAGGAAGACGTCACACATCGTCGTTGTCATCGTCATTGCCGCGTTTGTCCTATACGCGGATTCGCTCTCATACCCACATGCTCATAGACAGAGTTTCTCAGCGAAATGTGACAGGAGTATTAGATGCACATATGGGGATCTCGGCGTCGAATAATATGTTGGTGGGGGGGGCTTTCTGCGGACGTTTTCGGCCCGCACCTGGCTCGAGGCGTAGGCTTCATCACACATGGCCGCTCGCATGGTTGGCAGTCACTGCGGCGCTTCCTGGGACAACTACTACTGGGTTAATATGCTGTGGTCTGGTGCTGCGTCTTTCCCATCGTCCTGCCATTTTGCCCCCCCCCCCCTCAGTTTCGGGAGAGGGGCGCCAGGCCATGCGTGACCTTGAGGTGAGCAAGTACGAGTAGTAGCGGCCGCAGTAGCAGTAACGCTAACAGTACCAGAAGCGGTGGTAGTAGCTGACACAGGTTGTGATTTGCGTGGTAGCACGTCTAGTGATTGTTATGATTGTTTTAGTTGCGGGTGTGGTTGTGGCTGGAGTTGTAGCTCGGGCTGGGGAAATAGCAGCGGTGGCTGCAGTAGTCGAGATGCTGGTGATAACCGTAATACGAATACGATACAGGAAGTCAATAGTTCCCGTCGCAATGGCAATATAATGACGCGTAGAAGTACCGAGGAAACGAACATATATCGGAGTAGAGGCACAACGTAGAAGTACGGCGCAAAGGAATAATGGATATGTCGCACATGCCACCACTATATGCATGCAGACCTGTTTGGTCATCGGAACTGTCGTGGTTGGATTTCATCGCAAAAAGAATGCACCGCTTGATCTAGGAGCATCGGCGAAATCCGGATCGAGTCACAATGATAAACAGAAACGCAGGCCACACCAAGAGTTAACATGTTCCCTCCCGCCCGCCACGATCAACTGCATCCTTCGATCCTCACCCTCACCCAGTCAGATGTTGCTCTCTCTCTCTCTCTCTCTTTCTCTATCTCTTTTGTTACGTCTCTTTATATATCTCTCCGTCCCTTTTGTGTTCTCTCTCTCTATATATATATATATATGTATATGTATCTCTCTCCCTCTCTATAAATATATCGGGCTCAATCGTATACACATGTATGGTTTTGTTTGTTATAGTTCTCTATATCTCTCGCTCTCTCTCTCTCTCTGTCTCTCTAGTTCGCGGTCTCTCTCTCTCTCTCTCTCCCTCATTGCATGTACCTGTCTCTCTCTCTCTCTCTCTCTCGGTTTCCCTACCTCCATCTATATGTTGCTTCTCCCTCTCTCTCTCCCACTCTCTCACTCTTTGTCTCTAGCTACAAAGAGTAGGGAAGGAGGGCAGGAAATGATTAAGAGTAAGGAGGAAAAATAGAATGACAAATACCACATGGCCTAGATAAGAGATAAGGGAGAGGGAGGGAGGGAGGAGAAGAAGGAGGAGGCGGAGAAGGAGAAGGAGGGGAAGGGGAAGGAGGGAACAGACGCAGGCGGCAGGGATATTCTGCCACCCGGCCTCGAAGGAACCAGACTGGACGATGTAGAAGTAGTCGGCGATGGGGTCACCCTGCGTCAGCAGTTCCTGTGCGGACCCTCTCCCGCCGAGTGCGGCGGACCGCGCCGACTCTCATCTCCCCTTTTCCCCCATCCTGCTCCCTCTCCTCCTCCTCCTCCTCCTCCTCCTCCTCCTCCTCCTCCTCCTCCTCCGCCTCCTACTCCTCATCCTCACTCAATCCCTGTTGTCACTAGCGTTTGAAACATCGAAATCCGACTGGCGGGCACAGCACCCTGACTCTCGCAAGGATGTCCGTCTCGCAAACGAAAACTGATCCGCACGTAGCACCGCATTGCTTCTGGAGTCCCACCAGCCTTCCAAGGCGTGAGTGGTTTAGGACGTTTCCTCTTCCAACCCCCTTGTTCCCTTTCGGGGAAGGGGCTACTCCTCCCCCTACCCCCGACACTGGACCCGGACGGGGGCGGGGATCGAAGACGGGGTGGCCATCGCAAAGTTGAAGGGAAAGTAAAAGAGAGGGATACGACAGCGACGGAGCTAAGATGGAAGAAGGGCCGTTTCTCCAACCCAGCGCCGCAGATTAGGCGCCACATGCGACGCTGGCAATTGGGGCGGCGCCGCCTTGAGCCAAGGCGGCGGCGGCCGAGCGAAATATTAGATACCCTCAGGGCAGGCCCTCAATGTCGAAAGAGGGGGAACGATGCTCGCCCGTCGCTACCTTGCATGTAACCACCAAGATTACGCTTAAAATTTCTACCACCGATACAATTCGTAAAAAGCGAGGTGCGAAGGGCTGGGTCATGTTTCCGTGAGCCCGGCTAGTTAGCACCAGTCTGTACACTAGACGGCAAGAAGAAGCTGGAAAATACAGCCCGGACAGGAGAGACCAGGGGCCAGTCCAGAAAGCCCAGGAACGGACCGATGAAGGCTGATCCCGAATCGGCGTAGGAAAAATTGAGAAAGGCCGCATGACGGCGACAACTGTGCGCAGAGTATGAGGTCGCGATTCCGCGACCGCGGCATGCAGAATGAGCCCCGAAACGCGCTCGCTTCTGAGCAATCGCAGGTCCGCGAAAGCTCTGCGCGGGGCCAGCAGGAGCACGCCCCCTCTGCATGCACAGACAAACCGACGCTGGGCAATCCTCCAGATTTCTGGGATCCATACAGGCGTTTAGGCGCAGTCACCTGTAGGCGATGGGAGATACGTTGCCTCGGCAGGCTGCATATGACATGACGTCGCGCGAGTAGATATGGTAGCCAGCCACAACCTGCAAGAGCAAGCCACGATCAATAGTACCCTTGGTGCGGCCATCCGCCGCCATGTCGCGGGCGTCGCACCACTGCGTTTTGTCGATGATGCCGAGGTCCAAAAGCTCCCTCAACCAGCTGATATGTCTCACAGCGTCTGCTCAGTGAGCGCCGTAAGATCTTTGCTGGACGGAGGCGTTTCAGCCCAGACAGACTCAGAGGCTCCTTGATGAGCTCATTCAGCGTTACCAGAGTGGGGCACAATTGATCCAGGCTTTGAGCAGCTTCTGGCCTGGAGGAGATGAGACCTGCAGAGGCTGCTAACGCAATGCATGGCGTTTGCTGCTCGTGTTTCACGACGTAGCAGATTGCACCCACGAGGGCCGCAGCCCTTAATCTCGTCGCCCTCGTCACCAGTGCGCTTCCGATACCCGGAATCACTGCGCGGGTCTACAGCGCCATCAAGGGTCATGGCGCCGTCATTGCTTTGCTCGGGCCCCTGCAACATTGCGGGCAAGAGCATTCAATCACCTCGCCGGTATATCAGTCGGTGCCTGGAAACGCTGCAAACAATCAAAATACAATAACCCAGAAATGGGCGAATGCGAAAGCTAGGGATCCCCGCAGGCTAATAACACGTTATCGACAAAAATATTAGCCGCCGTTTCTGGGAGGCCCCTACAAGACCAGGGTGCGCAATCAAGCGAGTTTGTTTGATGTAAGCGTCTTGACCCATGAAAAATATCACTACCTTCCGCCCTGGTGTACGTCACCGCAATGTCGTGTAGGTATGCCTGTTCAAAATACATGCCGAACACCTGCTCAAACCGCACGGCGCGGACATCTATGCCGGGTTCGTTGCCACACGTTGGCGTCGTCCACGCGCTTGGCTGCGAGCAGGTCCTGGGCGGCCTCAAACTCCGGGTCGCGCGACGCGGGCCCGAGGCCAACGTTCTCCGTGGCCTCCTCGAGTTCGAAAGGAAAGACATGGGGAGCACCCTTGGAAGCAGATCGGGGCATGAAGCCTTTTCAACAGCGTCGCGACTCGCCGCGGCCCCCGTAGCCGAGCAAGGTACGAACAACAGCGGCACTGCCAGGGGGTAGAAGCAAATATACAACGTGCCCCTGTTCACCTGTAGCTTCGGGCAGCTATTTGCATGCGAGGACTTCGAGGAAGTCCGCGCCTACGCCGAGGCCGTTTCACTCGCCAGCAAGCGTTGGGGCGCGCGACGCGATGCACCAGAAAATGCTTCAACGGGGAAAGCTTCTTGACCCACGGAAACCCCTGAATGTCAAGGCGCACTCGCATAGTCTTCCATAGTCCCAAGCTCTGCGTCTACGAACTTCCACTTGTATGCTCACCTTGAGGCCACGCCGTCCTGGGTCTTAGACAACAACTCTTCGGCGAAGCATCGGTTACCCAGGCCAGTTGTTGAGTTCGGCCCAAAAAATGCAGGTGATACTTGCTAGGGTTCTTGATTGTGTCCTGCTTGGTACGCAGGCCATCCTTCTGATCGCCACAACACGTTGGACCTCCAGTGAAACGTAGACACGAATGGTGGACACCTTGACAACGAGAATGGCTATCGGGCGACATTCGTCCAATATTGAAACTGCCATCTCGTCGCTTACGCAGAGCTCAACAGACCTACCGTGCTCGTCGGAGTCGAGGCCATAGTGGTCGTCAGTGGCATCATGGTCCAACACCTCTGTAGTCATCACCCTGGAGTCACCCGAACGCTGACAGGAGAACAGGACGCCGCTATGTTCGTGCTCGCGTAGGTATATGGAGTCCTGTTTAAACATTAGGCTCGCATGCTCGTGAGACTCAAGCACCGCACTTGTAAGCATAAGAATGGTGGGGGTCGCAAAGAGGGTCTGTCCCACTACTGATGGCCACTCTCCATGAGGTCCTCGTTCGAGTCGAGCATGATCATACGGTCCTCCTCTTGTTCGTCCTCACCCTCGTCGGTTGTAGAAAGACGGCCGTCCCCATGCTTGGATCCCATCGGAATCTCAAGGTGTTTCGCGTTCCCGCTGTCACCACCATTCTGAGGTCCGCCGGCAAGTTCCGGGAATCGGGTAAGGTCCTCGTCGAACGAGTGAACGGGTCTAGTTACAATCAGGCACTGTATGAGGCGAGCATGGTCGTTGCCAGTGATGTCCCGAATCTTGGGAGGGGCATCGGCGGACTCATAGAACTAGAAGCCCAGGTGGACGTCGCTGTCGTAGGATGTCACAGCGTTGCGATCAGCTCCATGGTAATTCTGAAAAGTGCCGACACTCTTGGCCAGCCTTACGGCTAAGACGCGGTCGATTCTAAAGCAAGTCCGGACATAGCACTGCAGCGCATTATGAACCTTCTAGGACACCCTGGCTCCCGAAGATGAAGGGTATACCTTCTTGTGATCGGGGGTGTAGCGAACGACAATAAGGGGCCTCTCCTGCTGGAAAGGCCGCAATGTAGGATATAATGGTTCGCGTAGGCACGTTGCCCATACTGCCCCCTCGCCTCATTGACTGCGGTTAACCGCACAAGAGCCACTCCATCCACAGGTGTCGTCCTGTCTGGCGGCTGGGCGACGGTAGTCCAGCAAGTCGCACACTCGGAAGAGCTTTGGCTTTCGCCTTAAAGCCCTGTTCACCTTGGCCGTGGCCTGAATAATTGCTTCAAACGAAATCTCGCGGTTGCGGCGTTCACGCTCCTGGCCTGTAGTTCCATTGTCTTCCAGGTCTGATCCTTCACGGTCAGGAAGCATAGGTGGTTGTCTGGCAGCGTCGGCGCAGTACTGGGACGCGCCATATGATATAAGAAATTTGCAAGTGGACAGCGTTTCGGCCAGTAGTCTATGGAGAGCGAAGGGGATATCATGCCTCTCGGGTTCTGTTTCCATCGTGCGCATGACACCTCGGAGAATGTCGCTTCGGGTCTCAGTAATGATGGCGCGCTGTCCTGAGGCTCGAATACAGGGTTCAGTGCCCAATTGTTTCATCTGGCTATTGGCGTCGTCGTTGTTGAGACCTCTTTCACCATCGCAGCTTTGTACTTTAATGACGCGGTAGTGCTTAACCCAACAATCGTATACAGCGTGGGCATTGAATAGGGAAGCCCTAGAAAAGGAATCCAGGGTCTGGAAGCCAGTGGAACTCCGATCGTGGATCGGCCATGGATATCACCACCGCCCTCATTGGATAAGGAATCCTCCAGGGTCTGACGCCTCCTGGGACTATTCCTTAACAAACGCCCCCACCGTAATGCATCCAAGAAGGCGTCCTTGGATTTATTGGGATTATCGCATCCGTTGGCGTGCCTGATGCGCCTTTCGATGATGTGGAAGGCGATGTGCTTCTGATAAAAGAAAAGGTCGCGTTCCACCATTTCATTACTCTTCATTAGATCGACCAGGCAAGCTCAGTGACGGCAAGGCGGAAGTGCTGGGACGCCCCCACGCCCGGCATTCACGACATGTGTCAAAGACGGGCGTGGTCATTTTAATCTGGCGCATCTTGGGCTCCTTCGCATGAAAGACGCTAAGATGCAGTTTGCGGAGCTCCTTGTTGATCACTGCGGGATCGGTACTCCTGAGCGCGTCAAGACTGGACTGAACGTTGAATCTAAACAAATCTGGCACAGAGCTTGGGCCAGTACCGCGGTCCGAGGATCGGGGAAAATCGCGCAGCAAGAATTACTCGAGCGCATCTGCCACGCTGCAAGACTGGTTCTGGCGGAGGTGGCACGTCTGAAGCAGAGCCGGTCGCGTTGCCACGATCAGCCCGCGACGCAGTCGCACTGTCCAAGTCCGCAGTAGGGTCACCAGTTGCACGAGGTCGCGGCGGTCTCGGATGAGCTCCTGATCTTCCCGCAGACGAAGCAGACTGTCCCCCACCTGGTGCGATAATTTCAAGAGGACCCCCACCGTCCTTGGGGCCAAGGGGCATGGAAGCATCGCGACCTGTCGGCCATCTGAAATTAGACTGGCGAAAGACCCAACCATATGCAGCTTGCGAGTCCCGCAGTTGTGGACATCGTCGTCGGTGGAGCCGCCTCTGGACCACGAAACGCTGTACTGGGCGGGGGGGACTCATGCGAACTTTGCCACTGGGGCCTTCGGTGGAGTTCCCTGTGGGGCGACGAAACGCTGTACTGGATGGGGGAGAACTCTGCCACTGGGGCCTTCGGTGAAGCTCCCTATGGGGCCACGAAACGCTGTACTGGGTGGGAGAGACGCACACTGACGGTTCCACTGGAGTCCTTCGGTGGACCTCCCTATGGGCCACGAAACGTTGTACTGAGTGGGGGTAACGCATGTGGACTTTGCCACTGGGACCTTCGGTGGGGCTTCCTATGGGGTCACGAAACGCTGTACTGGGTGGGCAACTCGCCTGGGCATCGTTCCTGGATGGGCTGTTGGGAGTATTTTTTTGATTAGCGGCCCGCAAGGAAAAGTCCAGAGGGCGGAATGAGGCAATGGGGCGCAATGCCAGATGATTACCAACTGTTGGGAGTACGCGAAGCGTCTAGACTTTCCAGGCCGCCGCTTCCGCGCGCCCTTCGTGATACCAGCAGATGCACTCATCGTTTTCTTGCTGGCAGATCTCTGGTTGAGGATCCCCGACTCAACACCGGGCTCTCCCTCGACTCCCGATGAACAAACAATGTAGAACGCAGAGCACCGCTTATGTTAAGGGGGCTCAGATCTTGAGCCCCTGGCCAGGCTGGATCGTTGGGGCCTGGGTGATTTTGTCCGCCAGGCAGGGCGGGATATAAATCTTGCCCTAACACCTTTGAAGCTCCAAGCTATACACCCTTGGGCCCCCCCGACAGCGGGGGACGCTTCCTCCTGCAGCGTCGATCCGATCCTCCCCCCCCCTCCTCCTCCTCCTCCTCCTCCTCCTCCTCCTCCTCCTCCTCCTCCCCCTCCTCCACCTCCTCCTCCTCCTCCTCCTTTTCCTCCTCCTCCTCCTCCTCCTCCTGCCCCTCCTCCTCCTCCTCCTACGATTCCTCCTCCATCCTTCCCCTCTTGGCGTACGACGACACTGCATGCTCCTCCACATCCCTGATCAGGGCAACTCGCCTGGGCATCGTCTCTGCATGGGCGTTGGAGTTACACGAAACGTCTAGACTTGACAGGCCGCCGCTTCCATGCGCTCTTCGTGAAACCAGCAACTCCCCAAAGACAAGATTCGGCCTCGAATTATGTAACAGCATGCGGGACCATCGCAAAGCTCAGCGAAGCGAGGAGCGTTCATTCTGCAGCGTCGGGCGTGCGCACATGGTCCCAGTCATGCAAGACCCACTTGCCCCCAGTGCTGCTATCACACATGCTGTCATCACAGCGCCCTCGTTCATCATATCAACATCATTGGCACTTCCACCAGCCACTCAAACAGTGCAACCAGCGCGGATTATTCTCCTCCTCCTCCTCCTCCTGCTCCTCCTCGTCTTCCTCCTCCTCCTCCTCCTCCTCCTCCTCCTGCTCCTGCTCCTGCTCCACCCGACCTCCTGCGGCATCTCTCGAGCCAGATCGAACCGTGCTCGCTGGGATCGGGCACCCTTCTGGGGTTGGGAGCAGGAGCACAGACAGTCGCGCTCCACCACTGGCACAGCAACTGCTCGCAAGTGGCCTGGATCCGCCGCGGGGGACCTACGCTTTTCTACATCGAGGCAGGCCTGTGGTGCTAAGACGTTTGCAGGCAGGCACTCTGCGAGCAGTGGCACGCGCCAGCTGCGCAGGACCACGCCTCCTGCCCTCGCGCTCCCACGCCGCCCCCCCGCAGGAGAAGCAGCCCTCGGGCCTCCGCCTCCGGAGGCCCCCCCGGGGGCCTCCCGCGCAGCCCCCCGCGGGGAGCGCCGCCGCTGCAGGCCCGCCCGCGCGAGGAGCCCTGCGACCGCGCGGCCTTCGGGCGGCTTCCCCGATTTGCGCAAAGCGGCGGCGAGGGCCATCTGTGGGCCCGAGTGCCCCAGCCGGCGTCCAATCGCTGGCCCGCTGGCCTCATGGATAAGAGGTCGGCCCCTGGGGCCAGAGATTCCGGCATTTCCCCAAGCCGTGCTTGCACTCGGGGGTCCTTGCTTGCTTTACCAAGGAATCGGGTGGGTAATCCGAGGACTTGTTTGGTGCCGGCCCCGTGGCCGCCCAAGGTAACGTGCATCTCATAGGTTGTACCACATAGCTTACACCGTATAGCAGCCCGCCTCGTGGCCGCCTCGTGCGCTGGGTGTCTGGCGAGGGTTCGACATGTCGCCGCCCGTTGCCGCCTCGTCCGCCCATGGCCGCTTCGTGGCCGCCTCGTGCGCTGAGTGGGTCCGGCGGGGTTTCGCCACCGCAACACGGCTCTGGCCCTGGCCGCAGAGACGACTGCAGACTTCACACGCTGAACGCACAACAAAAACTCATATCATTCGCCCGCCGCATTCATGCACCGCTCACGCCTCGCGCGTGCCCGCCATCCAGAATGCAACCTTGGCCACGAATCCAGCGAAGTTTCGCCACGTTATGAGCGCAACCTTTGGCGCAACCTGACCACCACACACAACCAGAGTACAGTGACTTACTGTTTGAGCCCCACGCTTGCAGACATGAGAGTGCCTTTTAACCAGAGGCGATGCCCAAGGGGAGGCCACCCCGAAGTTCGAGAGGCTCCTGGAGGCCTGCCTAGGGGCCTGCCCGAGGTCCCAGGCAGCCACACAGATCCCGAGATCACACACTCGGGATCCGACGCCCGAGATCACACACTCGGCAGACACACAAGAAGTGCAGCGCGGTGAGAAATCATAAAAGCCCCAGAACCCTCGACCCCTCCAGTGCTGCTATCACACATGCAGTCATCACAGTGCCCTCGCTCATCATATTGACGTCATTGGCACTTCCACCTGCCACTCAAGCAGTGGGAACCAGCGCGGATTCTTCTCCTCCTCCTCCTCCTGCTACTCCTCCTCCTCCTCCTCCTCCTCCTCCTCCTCCTCCTCCTCCTCCTCCTGCTCCTCCTCATCCTCATCCTCCCTGCCCCCTCCATGATCGCTGGGATCGAGAACCCTCGACCCCGACCTCCTGCGGCATCTCTCGAGCCAGATTGAACCGTGAGGATCCTGGGGCCGATACCCCCGAGAAGGCGCCCCGTGCGAAGAAGAACACAGCGCCCAGATTTCCGCGAAGGGCCAGACACTGGACGACGTGGGCCGCGTAGCAGACCGGTTCGATGCACGCTGCCGCGCGTGCTGGCACGCGCGGCAGCGTGCACCAAGCCGGCAGGGTGCGCTGCCGGCGCTGTCCAGAGGTGCACCCAGAAGCCTCGCGTCACCGTGTGCAGGCAGCGAGGCGCGGAGCGCCCATCCCGGAAGCCGCGCCCCCCCCCCCCCCCCCGGCCGAACCCGCAGCGTGGCGCCACGCGCGAGCGGAGCGCGTCCTTGTTGGCGGGCACCGTCTCCCTCCAGAACATGTCGGTGAGATCCTGGGGCTCATGGGGCGAGGAGGACGACGGAGCAGCGCACATGCTGTCGCGGACCCGGCGAACGCGCGGGTCGGTCGAGAGGCCCAGGAGCGCTCGACAGCGAAGTGTGCACTGCCAGAAGCAGGGCGGCCGCGGAGGGGAGGAGCGGGCAGGGGGGGAAGAACAGCACACACACACACACACACACATACACTCTAACCTGCAGAGACGAGGAATGGGGAAGGGCAAGGAGATGAAGATGCAGGAATATGGGTGCGGGTTGACGGACCACGAGGGGGGCTCCCGTTCGAACGAGGAGTCCCCATCCGACAACACACACACACACACACGTAGCCCCCACGGACTTCCATCCTGAGAAATCCAAAGAAATCCGCGGGTGCTAGTTGCCGGCTCACGAATAGACGAGGTTGGGGAGTCAGGTTGTCAGGTAAGGCTTTCAGACAGCCGCGCGTGAGCCCCGCCCCTACAGGTCTCCTGTCTGAAGTACCAGTGGGAGCTCAGAGCATGGAAGATGGCTACAACCACATGAACCCCAGAGGAGGCGTCCGATGACCAAGCGCCGATTGCACCCGCAGGGATAGGGTCGCAAGTGGTCGCAGAGTTTTGGGACGTTCTTCGCCCTCTCTGGGCCTCTGGGAGGCCTGTCGTCGCCACGCACGGCTTCCCTCGAGATTCTGGTCAAAACGCGCCCCAGGATTGATATGTGGGTCCGTTTGTTCGCCTTCTCCTCCTCCTCCTCCTCCTCCTCCTGCTCCTCCTCCTCCTCCTCCTCCTCCTCTTCTTCCTCCTCCTTCTCTCCCCCCCGCATAAGCCGGGGGCCCCGGTGAGCACACCGGGATAGCCGGGGAACCCAAAGTGGTCGGCGCCGCCTGTATCGGCGGGGTACATATAGAGCCGGCGACCAACCGCAGGACTGGCGGAGGGCGGCGGGGGGGCTTGGGCGCCCAGGCCCCCTGGGGGTCCCCCCCTTCGGGCAGAGTGGGGCATTAGATGGCGCGGGCTCGGGATGCCCCCCCCGTTGCCAGGCCCCCCTGGCTCGGGGTCCCTGAGCTCGTCCTACTTGGTGTCCCTCCTCCCCCCGGGGTCCCCTCGGGGGGCGGGCTGGCGCGGGCTCCCTCGGGCCTGCGACGCGCCACCCATCGCCTGTTCCAAGGGCGCGATGGGTGCAGCGCGCGAAGGCGGGCCTCACACGCCCGATGCGTGGCGCGAAGGCACCCCTCGCCGGCGCCGAGAGCGCGAGGGGTGCGGGAGGCGGGGGCCCGTCTGCTGTCGCGCGGGCGCCCCACAGCGCAGCCAGTGCGGCCCGCACCGCCCTGAGGTTTCGTCGGCCCTGGCTGCCCCATTACTGGGGGCTGCTGGGGTTCACTGGGGGCCCCCGCGGCACAGGGCGCCCCTTGTTTTTGTTGTTTTTCAGCCGAGGGCGGCCCAGGCTCGACGTCCAAGGCAGCCCAGTGTTTTGGCTTCCCTGCGCTCATGGAGTCTGGTTGCGCCACTGCTGTTAATCCTGTCAATCCTCCTCCTTCTCCCCCTCTCCTCCTACTGAGCTAAGCTGGCGGAGCACGGGGTGCAAACCATCGAAAGGGGATATGTCTGCACACCGCCAGTGGGCTCACAAGCGGGTGCCGCGACAGCGCGCACCCCGCGGGAGAAAAGCCGGCAACAACCCAAACAAACAGGCAGCGGAATATCAAAGCATGAGGGCAGCGACCAGGGTCAGAAGAGAAGACGGGGAAAGAGGACAGCGAAAGGAAAGGAGGGGAAGGGGAAGGAGGAGAGCCCCGTCGGGGCGAGAGTCCTGCATCCGCTGGTTGCTCAGCGACACCATGCCACACAGGGTCTTGTTCTTTCGTATGGCGTTCTTGATAAGGTTCTGCTCCTGCGACGAAAGGGGGTTCCTCCTGATCCTTCCCTTTCTGCCTCGTCCCTTCTCTCCTCCTCATCAACATAATTCTCTTACCGTCAATCCTCATGGTCATCACCACCACCAACAACACCACCGTCACCATCATCAGCATCCATCATCAGCAGCAGCATCATCATCAGCATCACCATCATCATCACCACCACCATCATCATCAGCATCATCATCATTATCATCATCAGCAACCTCATCATCATCATCATCATCATCATCAGCATCAGCATCATCATCATCATCATCATCATCATCATCATCATCATCATCATCATCATCATCTTCATCATCGTCATCACCACCACCATCATCATCATCATCATCGTCCCACTCGTTATGGCCATCGTGTTGCTATCGCTGCTGCTCGAGCTTATTACCATCTCCATCCCACTATCCTCTCTCAAGCCTCCCCCTTCCCTCTTCCTCATCCTCCCGCCCTCACGGACGGACGCCGATGCCGCGGCCGGGAGCGGCCGCGCGCCGCGAGGGCGACGGCGGGGGGGCCCTAGCCCCTAAGACGTGCAGGAGCGCGTTTGGAACTCGAACTCCGTGGCCTCTCCTCGGCTCTGCTTTGTTGTCGGGTTGGAGCGTTCACCAGCAGCAGGAGCCTCATCGGATTGCCTTGCTCCCGGAACCACGCTGCTGCCCTTGTGTGATGTGTCCGTGGCCTTGGGCGGTGAACGTCTGAGTTGTTCCTTCAAGATCTCATCAAACATGTTGTCACAGTTGCAAGTGAACGTGTGAATCGACGTCAGCCCTAAACCCCCTGCTGCCATATCAGTCGTTACATCGAGCAACATATTTCCAGAATAGAGCGAAAATGCGAGGTCGTCGGATTCACCCTTGAGCCCCAAATAGGATTCGAAAACCGTTCCGAGATGAGTCCGCGAGCCAGTTCTCAAGAAACAGAACTGTTTACTCTCGTTTTCAATGCAAAGCAAAATTGTTTCCGGGGGATCTCCATCATGTTTCACTTCCGTCTCGTTATCGCCTGGCCAGTCCGAGACGATGTGGATGACACCCTCACCTGGTGGAGCCGTTTCGCTGTCGCAGAAAGCGTCGGCAGCTCTTTGAAAGTCGCCAAGCTGAAGGGAACAGAGTCGGATATCGCGTTGGACCTGCTGTTCCAAATAGTCGACGCCTCGATCTGGGAGATCATTATGTACAGCTCCTCGCGAGCATACCAACCCTCCAAAGCAAATTGCAGCGATTGGCCAGCCATCTGCCAGGAAAAAAAGGAGAGTCTATCTCGCGCGCCCGTTCCAACAACGTTCCACTCAGTTGTGCTACTGCGCTGCCGATGACAAACTCAACACAATCTTCCAAGGAAGAAGCATCCCTGGAGATAATGACATCGCGGTGTTTTGGGATGTCTCTGTGCGGAAGCTCCTCTGGCTGCTGTGTGGGCAGCGGAAACGTCGCCCTGCAAGTGACCGGTGAAGGATGGTTCTCCTCAACGGCATTCGACATTTCAGGCATGAACATAGGCGCACCAGGATTAAGAGCGCGTGCGAACACGTCGTGAACTTCAGAAAAACAGGATTGACCAGATTTGAGCAAGTGCGTGAGTATCGCGCAGTGTCCCGCAGCATGGCGAACAGCTACCCTTCGATCTCGCAATTTCCGACGTTTGCTTCGTGACGGTGGATTAGCTCCAGACCCAGAATTCACACAAGGACACACGTCAAAGGCGGCACAAGGTGAGACCGTAACCATGGGTGCAAAATGCTAGCAATGAGAGGGATGCCTAAGCCAATCTTGAGTCAATATTGAGCCAATCTTGAATAAACTCTCTGACTTGAGCCATGTTTCCGTAATCTCAGGGAGCTCGCGCCGTAATGATACAGCCGAAACAATCAATCCTCTATCTCCTCCCCCTCCTCCCTCCCCCCCCCTCCATCCCTCCCCCCTGTCCACCTGCCCCCCTCCTTCTCCTCCCTCCCCCTTCTCGAAAAGCGCCCCCGGCCTCCCCTGGAAGTCTGCGGAGGTCTCCCGAAGTCCCTGGCGCTCTCTGAAACTTGTTTTTGGATTAAGGCGCGGCGGACCGCGGGGAGAGCAGAGGGGAGTAGAAGGCAAAAGCAGCCCAGAACACCGAAAAAAAGTATCCAGACTAGGGGCCCAGCCATGGGCAGTTGTGAATACTGCGTTGTGGGTACCGCTTTCGGTGGAGCTCCCGACGAGGCCTCGAAGAGCGTGACGTGGGGTGACGTAGTGGGTGGGGAGACGCATGCGGCCGTCGCCCCTGGGGGCCTTCGGTGAAGCTCCCTATTGGGCCACGAAACGCTGCACTGGGTGGGAGAAGCGCATGCGAACGTCGCACCTGGGGGCTTTGATGAAGCTCCTTCTTGGGCAACGAAACGCTGCACTGGGTGGGAAAAGCGCATGCGAAAATCGCCCCTGGGGCCTTTGGTGGAGCTCCCGATGGGGCCACGAAGATTTGTACTCGGCGGGGGAACCGCATGTAAACGTTCCCTCTGGAGGCTTCGCTTCAGTGGAGAGCTCCGTATATGGCAACGAAACGGTATACTGGGCGGGGGAAGCGCATGCGAGCGTCTCCTCTGGGGCCTTCGGAAGGAGTTCACGATGGGGCCACGAAACGCTGTACTTGGCGGGGGAGCCACATGCGAACATCGTCTCTGGGGCCTTCGGTGTAGCCCCCTATTTGGCAACGAAGCGCTGTACTGGGTGGGGGAAGCGCATGCGAACGTCGCCCCTGGGGCATTCGGTGAAGCTCACGATTGGGCCACGGAACGTTGCACTCGGCGGGGGATGCGCATGCGAACGTCGCCTTTGGGGCATTCGGTGGAGCACGCTGCGGGGCCACGAAGCGCTGTACTGGGTGGGGGAAGCGCATACGAACGTCGCCCCTGGGGTCTTCGGTAGAGCTCCCTGTAGGGGCACGAAATGCTGTACTGGGGGGGGAGCAGCATGCGAACGTCGCCCCTGGGGCCTTCGGATGAGCTTTCAAAAGGGCACGAAACGCTGGACGCCGAAATGATTGACACGCGGAAGGCAGGAGGAAGGGGGAGGAGGAGAGGAGGAGAAGAGGAGGAGGATGCGGGGCGCTATCTCCTCAATTACCCTGGCGAAGGACCCAACCATGTGAATTGCGAGTATCGCGTTGTGGGTTCTGGATTCGGCGATGCCGCAATGGGTGGGGGACCGCATGTGGACCCTGGCACCGTGGCCTTCGGTAGAGGACCCTGACACCGGGGCCTGCGGTGGAACCTCCATACGAGGTCATGAAATGTGCGAGGGGCGTGCCGAACTAGGAGGGGAACCGCATATGGACCCTGTCACCGTGGCCTTCGGAGGGGCCCCTTGTGGGCCACGCAACATGTGAGGAGTGTGCTGAAACGGGCGGGGGGACGCATGTGGACTGCGCCATCGGGGCATTCGGTGGAGCTCCCTATGTGGCCACGAACCGTGTGAGGGGTGTGCCGACATGGGTGGGGAACCGCATGTGGACCCTCCCACTGAGGCCTTCGGTGGAGCCCCTTATAGGGCCACAACAAGTGTGAGGGGTATGTCGACATTGGTGGGGAACCGCATGTGGGCCCTGCCACTGGGGCCTTCGGTGGAGCCCCCTATGGGGCCACAAAAAACGTGTGAGGGTTGTACCAAAATGGGTGGTGAACCGCATGTGGGCCCTGTCACTGGGGCCTTCGGTGGAGCTCCCCATGGGGCCACGAAATGTGTGAGAGATATGTCGAAATCGGTGGTGAATCGCAAGTGGGCCGTGCCACTGGGACCTTCGGTGGAGCTCCCTATGGGGCCACCACGAAGCGTGTGAGGGGCGTGCCGAAGTAAGCGGAGAACCGCATGCGAACCCTGTTACCGCGGCCTTCGGTGGAGCCCGCATACGAGGTCACGAACGGTGTGAGGGGTGTGCCGACATGGGTGGGGAACCGCATGTGGACCCTGCCACTGAGGCCTTCGGTGGAGCTCCCCACGAGGCCACGAAACGTGAAGGGTATGCCGAAATGGACGTGCGGAGGGATGGGACGAGGGAGAAGATGGGAGGAAGGAGGGAGGGGGAGGACGAGAGGAGAGGAGTGACGCGAAGCGCTGCCTCTTCAAAACGAGGACCAAACACCACAGGCTGGTGGGGAAAATCTCATGCTGCCAACGGCAACGTGGGGAAAGAAGCGCTATTCAGCAACAGTTGGGACGGGGAAGCCGACTGGGCGACGGCACCTGTGGAGCAGGAAGAGAGCGGCCGCAGAAGGTGACAAAGAGAGTCGCGCTCAGACACTCGCGGTGCTGGCGGCCTCAGGCTCCAGACGACCCACAGACCAACGGGTCGTAAGTGCCTGCCTCTTTGCCACAGACACAAGGGGGGGGGGAGGGCCTGCGGACTGGACGAGACCATTTGATGGCCGATGCCGAATTCAATTGCGCGGCGCGCTTGCTGTGGCAGGTAGCTTGCCGCGACGCCATCAGCTGCTCTGACAGCGCTTCCCCGTCGCCATGCACTTGACCCCCTCGGCGCGACGACGGTGGGCCCGGCACGCGGGCCCCGGCAGATGGCATGGGGACTCCTGCGCGCTGCCCGCGGAGAGATAGGAAAGACCCGGGGCGGGACCGACGAACTCGAGGCACTGGGCATCCGACCAAACTCGTGGCGCCCCCCTCCTCCTCCTCCTCCTCCTCCTCCTCCTCCTCCTCCTCCTCCTCCCCATCCTCCCCCTCCCCCTCCTCCTCCTCCTCCTCCTCCTCCTCCTCCTCCTCCTCCTCCTCCTCCTCCTCCTCCTCCTCCTCCTCCTCCTCCTCCGCGGTCCGCGCGGCCGGCGCGCGCGATCCCACGCTTCCTGGACGGTCTTCTTGGTCGGGGGCCTCACGGTCACCTGGCGCCGCGCGGCGGCCCGGTCGGCGTGAGGGGGGGGGCGGAGCAGGAGGAGCCAGCAGGAGAAGTGAGGGAGAGGAGCGAGCAAGAGGAGCGAGGAGCAAAGAGGAGGAGGAGGAGGAGGAGGAGGAGGAGGAGGAGAATGGAGCAGGGGGGAGGGAGGAGGAGGAGGAAGAGCGAGGAAGAGGAGTGAAGGGGAGGACCGATGAGGAAAGGGGGGCAGAAGTAGCGAGGACGGGGAGCGAGGAAGAGCAACGCGAAAGAGGAGCAAGCAAGAAGAAGCGAGGAGGAGCGAGGAGGAGCGAGGGAAGAGGAGAGGAGAAGAGAAGAGAAGAGACAGACGATAATACATTAGAGCGAAAGCATAAGGGAGAACAAAGAGAAAATATACATCATCTGGGCGAAAGGTCCAACCATATGCACATGTGAATACCGTGTTGAGGGTACTCTTTTTCGGGTGGAGCGCCCTAAGAGGTGGGGGAGACGCATGCGCGGCCGCGGCCACTGCGGTCTCTGGTGGAGTTCCATATGGGGCCTTGAAATAATATACTGGACGGGGAAACGGGAGGGGAGGGGGCGCATGCGGCCACGGCCCCTGGAGCCTTCGGTGGAGCTCCCTCGGGGGGTGTAACGAAACGCTGTACTGGGTGGGGGAGACGCACGCGGCCGCGGCCACGGGGGCTTTCGACGGAGCTCCGCAAGGGGTGCCACGAAACGCTGTCCTGGGTGGGAGGGACGCATGCGGCCGCGGCCACGGAACGGAACCTTCGGTGGAGCATGCTGTGAAGCCACGCAGCGCTGTACTGGGTGGGAGAGACGCGTGCGGCCGCGGCCACAGGGGCCTTCAGTAGAGCCTCATATGGGGCCACGAAACGCTGTACTGGGAGGCGCGGGCGCATGCGGCCGCGTCCACTGGGGCCTTCGGTGGAGCTCCCCATGGGAGCACGAAACGTGTGCGGGATGCGACGAAACACTGGCATGCGGAGGGCAGAAGCAGGGATGGGAGGAGGAAGGAGACGGAGGAGGAGAGGAAGGACACGCAGGGCGCTGTCTGCTGAAAACGAAGACCGAACACCACAGGATGGGACAAAGAGGAGAGGAGATGCGAGGAGAGGAGAGGAGAGGAGAGGAGAGGAGAGGAGAGGCGAGGAGAGACGAGAAGCGAAGAGGAGAGGAGAGGAGAAGAGAGGAGAGGAGAGAAGCGGAGAGGAGAGAGAGAGGAGAGCAGAGTAGAGGAGAGGAGAGGAGAGGAGAGGAGAGCAGAGGAGAGGAGAGGAGAGGAGAGGAGAGGAGAGAAGAGGAGAGAAGCGGAGAGGAGAGGAGAGGAGAGAAGAGGGGAAAGGAGAGGAGATGCTAGAAGAGGAAAGAAGGGGGAAAGGAGAGGAGATGATAGGAGAGGAGAGGAGAGGAGAGGAGAGAAAAGCAGAGGAGAGGAGAGGAGAGCAGAGGAAAGGAGAGCAGAGCAGATGAGAGGAGAGCAGAGTAGAGGAGAGGAGAGGAGAGGAAAGGAGAGCAGAGCAGAGCAGAGGAGAGGAGAGAAGAGGAGAGGAGAGAAAAGGAGAGGAGAGGAGAGGAGGGGAGGGGATCAGAAAGAGAAGATGGGGGAGGAGACGGAACAGAAGAAGAAGAAGGAGAAGAAACATCGAGGTTTGATACGTGTTTGATCATGTTTGGGCCTGTGGATCACCTCTGGGGGGCCTCCGGGACCTCCGAAGACCTCTGTAGATGTTCGATGACCTCTGGGGAGGGACGATGAGTTCGGTGTTGCCTGACGTAGCAATGGCTCAGTGCGATCCCAGCTTCTCCAGGGAGCCCCAGATGGCCTCCAGAGCACCCCTCACGAAGCACAGAGTGCCCAGGGTCTCCGAGATGACGCGAAAAACTGGGGGGAACTTCGGCCAGGATCATCTCTGCAACCTAAGGAGGGAGGCGGGAGGAGGGAGGAGGGAGGAGGAGGAGGCGCACCCCTGGGGAATGGGTTCGGCCCCACCCACCTCGAGCGCGCGGCGTGCCGTTGCCCACGTTTGGGAGAGGTGCGGCGCGGGAGCGCCTGGCGGCAGCACGAAAGCGCCCGAGCGCAATCATGGAGTCTCCTTCTGGCGGCCCTGCTCAGCCCATGAGAGAGCTCTTCCGATTTCCTTCCGGTGGCCACCTGCAGCCCTGGAAAAGGCTATTCGACATTCCATGCGGTGGCCCCTCGAGGAGGCCGGACACACCCACCTCGAGTGCTCCGCGTGCCGCTGCCCATTGTTGGGCGCCGCACGGTGCGAGAGCGCCTGGCGGCAGCTCGAAGCCGTCCGACCGCAATATGCATGGTCTGGTTCGCAGACCAGGGACGGGCACGCAGATGGCTGAAAGTGGCGAGCAGGACATCAAGAGCTACAGCATGACACAGCAGGGATTCGCTCGAGAAGACAGCAACGTGCGTGATACGATGCAGGCACTCGAACACGTGCCCCAAGTCACGGGTAGGTGGGAGGAAGCATCGCGTACTGAACCACACTCGAGCACTCTAGATAGTGGAATGTGTTGCCCCCGTCTTCACATCCGCACCGATAGACGCACGGCTCCATCTCCTGCCTATATCTCCTGGACGTGTTCCAAAAATTGGCAAGAGACTTGAGGGTGGAAGTATGTATGAAGGGAGGCAGTGTCTGACCAGTATGCCCAAGACGAATAATGGCGAGATCGATGTCGTGCTGGGAGGCCCAGGGGAAGGATTTACGAACCCTGGAAGCCACAATAGGACCAAGCGGAAGGCCGCCAGAGCCCGTCGGAGAGTCACGGTGAGGGCACGCTGGATCGTTTTCCTGGTCGAGATATCTACAAGACCAAATGCAAGCTGGTACTCGTCACATGCGCGGCACATATGGGAGAATATCGATTCCCTGTCAAGCTCCGACAACCGCTACGCAAGAAAATATGATCATGATCGGTCGTTTCCTGAACTTCCCGTCTGAGAGCGTGAAACACGTTAGATCGCTCAGCGGCACGCACCATAGCGGCTCTCGCACTGGCGCGAAGGAAGTGGCACTCTAGCTTACACCCGAGGGGAACCTCTCTGCTGCACAGCAGGGGGAAACGAAAACTGGGGCGCCCAAGTCGAGAGCTGCTGGCGTTCCCGCTCACACGTGTCACACGTGACGCCGCGGAACTGCGGAACATGGGAGCACACGGGGTGGGCATATACATTGTACACACGTATACTCGACATTGATCCGAGGGCCAAGCCTTTGACCTCAGCAGGGAGAGTCCTGAGCTTCTGCCCTACACGCGCCCAGGCAAGACTGGCAGCCCAGAGGCCAACCCCGATGCCAAGATCCGTACCTACCACACGTGTTCCTAGGGTTGTATTACTAGACCTCTTGCTCCCGCCACAAACGCACGATGCCAGCAAAGGCGTAGGGACGAAGGTCAACCGTTGCCATCTTGGGGCCATCTTGGGATGTCCTTGGCCCGTCTTGGCCGTCTTGGGGGGGGGTTCTTCGGGGCCTCTTGGGGCCGTCGTGGGCCCTCTGGGGCCGCCGCGAGGCCATCTGGGGCCCTGTGGGATTCACCCGGGGAGCTGAAAAGCCCTCGCCCCACGCCCTGCTGTTCCCCCAGCGTGGCAGCAAGGCAGGGCAGCAGCCCTCATTCGGACCACGGGACGGGCCGACCGAGAGAAGCGGGCCAGGCAGGGGACAGGCACGGGCAGGAGAGCGAGGAGCCGAGGAGCGAGAAACGGAGGGGAGAGGGAGGGAGGCCGACAGGAAAGGACGGGCCTGGCTCGCAGACGGAGGGACGGGGAGACGCAGAGCCGGGGCGCTCGGGGGACCCAGGCTGCGGCAGGGGGTCCTGTGGCCGCGTGCACCGCTCGACCCGGAGCGCTTTCCGCCCTTGGAGGCCCCGAGAGGGCTGTCGACTCCACCGCATGGAGTTGGAGCCGCAGGCCGCCTTCCGCGGGCCCGAAGGCCTGAAACGGACCCCTCGGCGGGTATTCGGCCTTTCAGCACCCGCGCGGGCGTCGCCGCCGCGTCAACGCGGCGCCAGCCTGTCGTTAATCACAGCCAGCACCAGGGAGAACACAAAGCAGGCTCACGGTCACGACGGCGCAAGAGAGCGTCAAGCCGACGCTCGCCGAAGGACGAGAAGAGGAGGGGACGCACCTGTCCTTGCGTACCAGTCGGCACCTTGCCAGACCATTCCGACGCTGTGGCTGGGAAGGCTCGAGTGGGTGAGTGGGAACAGCTGGCTGCTCTTCGTGAAACGCATGGAAGAACGAACAACAACATGAATTGAAGCCTTCGGATTTCCGCGCGGATTCCTTGGGCGGCGCTGGATCCTCGGGCTTACCTCTGGGACCCGTCTTTCATCCTGAGTCGTTCTTTGACGGTCCCAGGGCCCTGGGAAGGTAAAGGGATCTGGAAGCCCCCCCCCCAAAAAAAAACAAAAAACTCCAGGACCCACTTCATCCTGCCCATCACGATGAACTTCGCGGGCGGGAAACATACCCGTATCCACAGCCTCGCGCTCTGGCTGGACTCCTCGGCCGCGACCCCATAGATACAGGCGGCTGTGCGCGGATGTCCGCGCTCGGAGCATGTCCACGGGACCGCGTCTCCATGGGATCGCGGCACAGTATCCAGACCAACATGGCATGAATGTGGATATAGTCGTCGCTCGTGAAAACCAGTGGTTTTCCCCAGACATCCGACGTCGTGATTTTTACAGCGTGGCTCCCCGGGCGGTCTGGACCTCTTGCAGGGGACTGGTTCTTCGTCATGAGTTGTTCATGACGGTCCCGGACCCAGCAAGTGCCCCAGGAGGCCGAACATGGCGCCACAAACCTTCCGTCGCAGAGTTCCACTAGACAGCTTGTCTGTCAGGCCCTGTATATCTCTTCGAGGCACGTGTGAGCCCTTCTGGACCCAGACCCGGTGGCCCGTGGCCCATGGTCTCCCGTACGGTATCCTGGATGGTCTCCTGCGCGTCTCCAATCTGGTGTCTTTTCTGGTCTCCCGAGTGGTGTCCCTTTCATGGACTCCTGGCATGGTTTCCCTTATGGTATCCCGTAGGACTTTCTTCATGGCTTCCCGCGAGGTCTGCCTTCTGATCTCCCTTTCTGGTCCGCCTCGTGGTATCCCATGGTATCCCTCATGACCTCCATTATGGTCTCCTTCATGATATCTCGTTTGGTCTCCATTATGGTCTGTCTTACGAACTTCCCATCGCGCTCTCTACAATACTCTCTGTACAACTCGTGACTATATGTAGCACTATCTTCAGGAATCTACGCAATACTCCCAAGAACCGCCTAGCATATTTCACGACGCGACGATGCCAGAATTCGAGTCGATCGAGTGAGCAGGAAGGGTTGGTGGGGCAGTGCAGGGAGCAGCCCTGAGCCCTGGAAAGGGCAAGGCCTTTCTTATAAATCGATTTCAACAAACAAAAAAAAAAAAAAAAAAAACTGCTTATAGATCCTGAACCGGAAGAACCAAGTGTCCAACGAACCAGTAAACAAAAACGGTTCACCGAAAAGGACTGGGCACTTCGGGAAGGGTTGTCGAAACCAGTTCGAAAACGGTTCGCATCCGATAAAAAAAATCTGGCCTGGACCAGGCCCCCACCAGGGGAAACGAAAACGGCAGAACAACGGCGCCCAGAGCGTCAAACAGACGGCACCAGAGACTGCATGAAAACCAAAAGCCCTAAAACAGTCAGAAACTGCAGCCGCTTCCATGGCCCACTAAGGCGGGGGCCGGTGGCGAGCACAGGGGGAAGTGAGAAAGCGCGGGCCTTCTCAGAAGGCCCGGGAATCCCCTGGCCCTACGAGAAGCTCCTGAGTTGTACCCGAAGGCGCAGAAAACTTCCTGAAGGCGCGAAGGCTTCCCGCCGCCTTCTGAAAAAGGCTTTTGCCTTCTCGTTTCCCCCCGTCGCTCGCCGCCGAGGGGGGGGGGGGGGGGCAGGGAGCAGCCCCGCGCTCTTCTGGCCAGGGCGGCGGGCGCAGGCGCCTCGCGCCGATTCGGGCCGCCCTCCCAGATGGCCTTGCGGCGGAACTGCAGCCGCTCGTGGAGCGCCAGCTCCTGGAACTTCTCCTCGCTGACCCTCCTCCGCCTTCTCGTTCCTTGATCCTCCTCGTGAAATGTTCTTGGTTTCTCTTGGCATGTTTGGGAACTCTGGGGGCCTCCTGGGACATCCAGGGACCTCTAGGGGTCAGGATGTGGGGCGACGTCCTCCTTCCCCTCCTTTTCCTCATTATCCATCAATTCGTTCTACTGATAAGGTCAACCCAGCGTGGACCCTAGACAATGTGCTTCCAACAATCAATACTGGGCAGCCTATGTTGTGCTATGTATGTTGCGCAAGCTATGTCGCACAGTTGTGCAATTTATGCTGGTGCAACCTACGTGGTGCAATCCACCAACGTTCAACTTAAGTTGTCCACCCCACTGTTCGCGCAAACATCCCATCCACTCACCCGCAATTTGGTTTGCAAACCCCATGCGGCGGCGAGTGCGATGACTGCTCGGCGCTGGCTGGTGCATCTCAGCGGCCGCCACAACCCGCGCATGCTCGCGCGAGCAGCTGCCAGCTACTTTGGCGCGGCCGACGCTGCCGCGGTGGCGTTAACCGCTGGGCACATCCCAGCGGGCACTTCACTGCGAGTCGGCGACTTGGGCGGGCGCGGTAGCATGACAGCGTCGACAACGATAGACACGATGCTGGTGGCGATGTTGGTAACGACGAAGGCGCGGCCAGTGCGCGCTGATGCTGATCACGCCGACGACAATGACGGCGTCTTCGCGTCGGTGATAAAGATTTTGGAAAGAGTTCGACATGCGCGCGCGGCCGACGCACGAGAGTGGCCGCCGACGGCGACAACACAGCGGCGGACCCGGCACCGGAGCCCAGATGACGGGCGACGACGAGGCGGCGACGGGGCACCGACGGCGACAGCAAAACGGCGGACCCAGTCCTGGGGCCCAGACGGCGGGCGGCGAGGAGGCGGCGACGGGGCGCCGGCAGCAACAACAAGGCGGCGGACCCAGCACTGGTGCTGAGTTCCTTTAGACACACTCCTTCACCCCAGGGCGTGTTGGTAGGGCGGGCAGGGCGCTTCGCCTGAGACTCCCTCGCCACTTGTGACCCTCAAGCTTGAAATTCGCCACGGACTCACAGATGAAGGGCAGGTCGTTTTCAAAATGCGCCTCTCCACTCAGCGCAGCGCCCGTTCGTCTGAAATGTTTGCAACAAGTTCACGGACTGGAGGGCGGGGGTTTTGAAAATGTGGCTCTCGCCTTAGCTCCGCACACATACGTCTTAAAAAATGCACCAGCTTTACGGATGCATGGTTGGCCGTCCTCAACCTGTGTTTCTCGCCCCAGCGTCGCGCACTTGCGCTCTAAAGCTTGCAACAGCTTCACGGATGGAGGGCGGTTACTTTTTCAAAACGTGGCTCTCGCCTTAGCGCCGCGCAAATTCGTGTAAAAGCTCTCAAGAATTTCAAAGATTCGCTGTCGAAATCTCAAGAATTGCGTTCTGGCACGACTTCGGATTGTCATGACGCAACCATCACACTGGTTCACAGTGCTGAAGTCCCAGGAATAGCGTTCTGGCGCCATTTAAGCATTTCGGACCACGAAAGTCACCTTGATCTGCGGCGTTGAAGTCGCAGAAGCGGTGTCATGGCACGACGTCCGGATTCTCAAACGATTGTCTTCTACTGGGCAACTTCCCACAAGGAAAAAGTTTGTTTTGGGTGACCTATGATTTGGGAACTGGGAGGGAGGGTGTATTGCAGCATCGTTGATGCAGCTTGAGTGTACACTAATCGTCCTCCTCCTCATCATCCGCTTCCTCCGCCTCCTCCTCCTCCTCGTCCTCCTCATCCTCCTCCCTCCCCTCATAAATTTTCCCGATCCAAATATCATTGGCCCACGCAACAATCACCGAGAGAGAAAGAGAGAGAGAGAGAGCAAGAGAGAAAGGGAGAAAAAGAGAAATAAAGAAAGAAATGAAGAAAGAAAGCAACCGTAGGACCCTGGCATGGAGTCGAAGAGTACATCAGTTGATCATATCAGACGACGCTGCCTCACCTCAGCAGGCGCACTCAGGAAGCAACCTCCAACACTCGGCCGCGAGCCCCTTCGCACTCCAACTGGCCAGAAACTCACGTAGCCGTCCTCTCGGCCATGTAGGCGTGACTCTCTTGTGCAAGCCCAGCCGCGGCCTGCTTACCCTGAACATCGTTCTGCGAGAGCGCGTGGGCGGCTGCCGTTGGAGCAGTCCCCACACGCACTGCACCGAAAAACAACAACGCTTGCGGTCATCACACGAGCAACGAGGAGACTGCGGGGCGGGGCGGTTGGAGTGGAGGCGAGGGCAGCGGCAAGGGAAGGGTCAAGGAGAAGGCAAACTGTCCTTTGTCATTGTGCCTTGGCTAGGGTCCTGCACCTGCGGGCGCACCGCAGGCACCTCAACAGGGCTCCCGTCCATCCAGAAGTCTCTGAGCCCTGGGGCTCTTTGAGAGTTTACCGGGCGACTCCTCAGTGTGGCATGCACACGGATACAGGGAAGACATGAAAACACAAACCAAAAACCTTCAGCTTAAACCAGATAGTGCTTACGCGCACATCTATGACATTTGTAGGGCCTGTACTACCCTGTCGCGGCTTACTTAGCAGCAGCCTGTCCACGAAGTGCCCTCAGGAAGTCATGAGATGAACGCTTTGTTTTGTGTAGAGGCAACAATCGTGATCACTGCCTCCGCAAGACAGCTTGACCACCCTCCAGTGTCCTGAGAAGGTGGCGCGGCCTCAAGCCAAAAATATCACACGATCCTGGGAGGAGAGCTGCACTGTCCGCACAACGTCCGACCTATTACCCTGGCCCTTCAGATGTAGCACTGCACTCGTCAGAGCATGGAGTTCCGCATGCACGGCTGCTCTGGGGAGGCCAGCTGGGAGTTGCCCACGACACCCTCGAACAGAGTCCCCATCTGAAGTGACGAAACACACAGCCCATGTCCCTGTTGCAACCTCGTGCTACATAAATCTACAAACCAACTACAAAAAGGGCTTGTAGAGCACAGAGCCATCTACGAACATCTAGACCGAATTACCGATGTGATGCTGCTCGATCGCATTCCCCCTTTCATCATGCCGAAAACCTTTTGGTGGCGGCAGCTGCACGTCGGACCTTTCGTACCAGAACTGAGTGATGAGAGGATTCGCTTCCCCCTGTGGCAGGCCTGCTGCACCGCCGTACCTGGTGGAAAGTGGTGTCAACCTCTCCGCAGTGGGGGGACACACAGGCTGAAAGCGATACCCCCATATGTGAAGTGTCACATTGCCACTGCAGAACACCACTGCCGCCTGAGGAATGATCGAAGTGCATAGCAGACATGGTGCATGACCATTTGGCCGCGACGTGTCTGCTCCTCGTGTCGGTCGGCTCTGGTCTTACAATAGTATGGATCGTATCGCCCCACCCCCTGCACATTGCACGCATATTCTCAGCAAAAACGCTAGACGTTGTTGCTGATGCGGTCTATCTCTCATCCATCTCATCATAACCGCCCTCTCTCCTCATCATCCTCCTCATCGTCATCATCATCATCCTCATTATCCTCCTCCTCCTCGTCGTCGTCATCACCATCATCATCATCCTGATCATCGCTATCATCAGATCACAAGCATCATCATCATCATCATCATCATCATCATCATCATCATCATCATCAGCATCAGCAGCAGCAGCAGCAGCGTCGTCAGCATCATCATCATCATCATCATCATCATCATCATCATCATCATCATCATCATCATCATCATCATCATCATCATCATCATCATCATCATCATCATCATCACCATCACCATCACCATCGTCATCATCCCCGCTCCGCATCCTGCTCGCGACCAATCGGCCGGTCGGCGACCCACGACCCACGACCCACCAGCGACCGACCTGACGACGACCGACCGACGAACCGACCGGGGCGCGTCAGCTCCTGGCTGATGGTGAGCGCAGACAGCGGCGCGGAGGCCTTGATGGTGGCCCTGCGGGGCTCGTTGCGCAGGAGCGCGCCCTCGCCGAAGTAGTCCCCGCTGGTGAGCGTCGCCACCTGCCAGGCCCAGGCCCCCGACGCCGCGAACTCTTCGCAGCGCGGCCGGGCGGCGACATCCGAACTCCCCCCCCCCCCCCCCCCCTCCTCCTCCCTCCCCCCCCCTCCTCCCCCCCCCCTCCTCTCCTCCTCCTCCCCCTCCCTCCTCCCTCCTCTCCTCCCCCTGCCTCCTCCTCCTCCTCCTCCTCCTCCTCCTCCTCCTCCTCCTCCTCCTCCTCCTCCTCCTCCTCCCCTCCTCTCCTCCTCCTCCTCCTCCCTCCTCCTCCTCCTCCTCCTCCTCCTCCTCCTCCTCCTCCTCTCCTCCTCCTCCTCCTCCTCCTCCTCCTCCTCCCACCCCCACCAAACATCGGCTCGCTGGAATCAGTGGGAGGCGGGGGTGGGGTTCGGACTTCGCCACGGGTCCGACGAACTCCCAACCCCGCCCCCCGCCGCCCATCGAGCCGCTGAACCGTCGATCGGCAAACAGGAGGTTCGACTTTCGCCTCCGAATGGCTGACCATAGCTCTGGGCCTCTTTGCAGGGAT